GCTCCGCGTATTCGTTCTTACCAGCCATAGCGTTCCCCGGCAGTTGGATTACATAAAGATTTGGGAGTATGGGGGAGCCGCGTCTGAAGTGGAATCTCTAGGTAGCTTGGATGGTTGACATGGGACATGGAGGATTCATAGTATATATGTGAGGCCGATGTAGGAGAAGCGGGGGAGAAAGTGGACAACCCGATGCTAGAATGCGGGGAAGCTCGTTTCCACTTAACGAGATGTCATCAAGAACGAAAGGCTGGATCCGAAAATAACGGGCACTTTTTATTTGTACGGCTCACGAATCATTGAATACGACGGATCCGAACCGAATAACGGGCCGGCAAAGTGGAGCCGACAAAACAACCGAACTGCTTAAATTCTGAAAAACGCGGGGTATGATGATCTATGGTGGTTCTCAACAGATGCCCTGCATAATCCGGGGTCACTTTAAACTGTTTAAGGTCAGGCGGGTTTATAACGCTCTGATATCTGTCTGACCTGGTCTCGGCTCGGGAAGGAGTAAAGCGACTGATAGCGTTACGGACAGATAGCTATATTAAGTCAGTCTCATGACATCTGATGGTGACAATGATATGATAAAAACAATCTTCGCGACACCCTTCTTTTGGAAATACTGCGAAGATTCCTAAAACTTTATAAATGGCTTCACAAGACTCCAGTTCCACCCTTGAGGCGAGACTCGCGGCCGTGGAGAAGCTAGCACAGCGAGTAAGAGACGCAGGAGCACCCTTCAAAACCAATAATTAATCTTATTAGGCCTACGATCGAGGAGAGGTAGAGAACGTATTCAGCAAGTATATGCATCTTCACAATGTGTTCCAGGACGAACAGATCAAGGCTCTATGGGTCAAGCGTGGTACCCCTGGAGTTCACGCGCAATACACCAACGTTGGAGTGTACACAGACTACGACAGCATCATGGCCTACCATAGCGGTCGGCCATCGCCTCCCGGAAAGTTGATCCTACACGAAACCACCACCCCGTTGATCGAAGTTGCTGGTGATGGTGAGACTGCAAAGGGGTTTTGGTTGATGGCCGGAGTTGAGAGTGGCTTAGCTGACCCCAAGAACGTGGGAACCATGCCGGAGTTTCTCTATGAGCCTGAAGATAAGAACGTCGACGGGAAGCGAGTCTGGACTCACTGGGTCTGGTGCCACTATGCTCTGGACTTTCTTAAGCAGGATGGACAGTGGAAGATCTGGCACTTCCGGTGTCTTGAAGTGGCTCGTGCGCCCTTTAGTGAGAATTGGATCACGTTTGCCAAGAAGAACCAATTGGCGTTTGACAAGGTAAAGAACTCCCTTTTATTGTACTATACTTCACGGAATCTGACATGAGAACAGGACCTTGCGTACTTCGGCAATGATGGCAAGGCTGTCTTCATGCCGACGCCAGATGCCAAGCCAGAAAAGGTCAGTTATGCGAGTCTCGATTAGTTATGTGCTTGACTAATGATTCTTTCGTGATATTAGAAGGCAGATGTGTATGGTCCAGATCGAGCGCGACAATTGGATGTTCCCCTCCCAGCATCTTATGAAACGTTTGCTGAGACTCACGAATATTAATGTCAATGCTTCGTTACGCATACAATCCTTAACACCAGCCGGCTTTCTCTACCTTGAAGTTTGTGAAGTCACTGCTATATAAATACGCCCATATTAGTATAAGAGATTTGTCATAGCTATCCCTTCCAATGATTAAATGTCCAGGCTCAGATATAATAGGAACAGCTACAGACTGCATGTAGATTTCACTCCCGCGTACTGTCTCAGGGTAAGCTGGGCGTAGCAGGGTCATCGACATGCCTAATAAGGTTAGATAAGGGAACAGGCAGTCTAACCTTGTCAGCACTGGAGGAATGAATCGTGGCTTCAAGCGGAGCCAATAGATAGCCTTGGAGCTATCTCTCGAGCTCGCCGATCTTTCGGCGCCCGACCAAAGCCAGGCAAATTTTCAAGCCACCAGGATTGCACTGTTGAAATACTGAAACCTAGACAGCCCCATCTTCCCAGCTTTCAAACCTTCTCCGCTCACCGCTGAGCTGGGCCACTGCAGCTTTCACCACCGCCCAAATGCCACTCAATCAATCGCACGAGCGACCGAGATGTTCTCTGACTCGCAGCTAGAACGGCTGGCGCTGCTGGAGAGGGTCTTTTCGTCAATTAGCCTCGTGGCTGTATCGCTGATCTTCGTGACGTACGGGAGCATACCGAGGCTGCGTAATCCAAGAAATACGTTTATCGTGTTTGCTAGCATCGCGAATCTGGGCGCTAGCATTGGGACGGTTATTGCACGCGATGGATTGGCTCGTGGTGAGGACTCGGCGCTTTGTAGGGCGCAAAGTTTCTTGGTACACATGCAAGTAATACCCGTGTCTCAGTAGCCACTCCGCGTATGTCCTAACCTCAAATGCAGATTCATGCAGTCTGATGCGTGGTGGTCTCTCGGCATGTCGGTGAACACCTTCAGGATTGTCTTCTTCCAGTCGAATCCACACACATTTAATAAGTGGCTGTATTCTCTGATATGCTTTGGAGGGCCTTTCATCTCGGGGTTTACCCTATTCTTCATCTCCACTCCGGCGCGTGGTCCCGTCTATGGAGCGACAACTGTAAGTTATTAAGCTGAAGTCATGACGATAAACTGATAGAGGACAGACTTGGTGCTGGATTCGGGAATCTTGGGTCAGCATACGACTCTTTACCTCATACCTCTTTGTATGGATCTGCATTGCTACGTCAATTGTTTTGAACACAGCGGTTGGCTTTCGACTCTTTCGAGCAAGAAACAAAGCTCGAGGTATCTTGAACTCGCGCATTCAAACCACAGTAACCGATCACCAAACAGTATAGCAACTCTCCTTCAAGTGGCAACGCAGTTTAGCTGACCAAGAACAGGTAACAGAAACGAATACCGACACTGATTTCCAAGGATCCGAAGATGCACCCGTTACTGCCGTACGTGATACTCAAAAATCAACTCCCAACGCCACGACTGTGGACCCAATTCCTCCTAACCAAAAGCAACAATCTTCATCATCGATCCCCAGTAGCACCAAGTCCAAATTTTGGCTCAAAGACCCTATCAAACGGGCATACCTATTCACAACCTTCATGTTCACACTAAGCGTCCTTGTGACGTGGGTACCAGCGAGCATCACACGTATCCATAGTCTGCTTAACCGTGATGTTCCATACTCATACCAAGTTGCCATAGCCGCCGTTATGCCCTTGCAAGGTCTCTGGAACGCTTTGATCTTTTTTACCACTAGCCGGGGCGTTATAAGGGACTCAATGCGGAATAAATGGGGTCGTTGGGTCTTCAAGCCTATAAAGAAAAACCAAGAGATAGTGAGAAGGGATGTTGCTGCAAGAGTAAGGGTCAGTGAGCATACCGACACCACGGACTCAGGCAGTGATGTTGAGCTCCATCGCCTGGAGAGGTGATTATTATAATAAATAAAAAGCTTATGCAAAGGAAAAGGTATTAACTTTTAATCTACCTGAGTAAACAAGCTCTCTCGGTTCGGTCACATAATTCCTGCAATTATCAGCTACGGCGATTATATCGCGCACATCATTCACTCCAGAAGATTTCTCCAAACTGTGCGCTTCTCTGCAGACTCGTTATCGATTAGCCACCTCGACTATGATGACATAATGCGCATCTTTCCCAGCTATTGCCAATGACGACGTGACCATGGCGCTCAAGGGCACGTCCTCTTGAGAGAATTGTTCTTCTTGACGATAGTTAAGTTTATAAATGCAAGTGTGCCACTACTCCCAGGAATATCTTGGCAAAAGGCATAGAGAGGTAGGACTATACAGCAGAGGGAAGGTTGGTCAGGAACGCAAAGATAAGTGCCGTAAGACTCGGGTTAACTGATGAGATCAGTGCGGTTCAGATCTGGAAAATCCCCTGCATGCTTCGCAAGTACTGCTTGAGTATATCTAAATGCCCTAAATAGATATCAGGAAAACCGAGTGCTTCTTCCTTTACACACCAAAGCAGGCAATGCGGTTGGCTGCCTCTTGTCGCCACTAGCCGTGTTGCCGCGATGTCTCGTTCTCTCGTACCAGGTTGGTTCAGCACAATGCCATGCAAGTACAAAGCGAGCCAGTCAGATCAAGTATTAGTTTACAAATCAATCTTTCGTGATCGTGTCTGAGTAGTCAGTCCAATCCATGTGATTGATAAGGATACCAATGCATGCTGCCTGGAAGCTGAACTGGGAGCTTCCTCATTCAGCAAGTGATTTTTTCACTTCGTTTGTCTTCAAAGAACACTCTGCCCCATTCAGGAGTAGATCTACAATCCTGTCAGCCTTGATGAGTCCCTGAGCATCAGGTTGAGAAGGTTGACACGAGATTACAAGGGGAGTGGTTCAAAGTCTCTTTGTGATTGGCTCACAAAGGTTGTTTCTCGAAAATGACTAGCCTTGAGCCATTGAAGCTAAGATGTTTCCAGGTTAATTAAGCGAGGGCTGAAGCAGTACGACGATCCCTTCTCCTCTGCCTTATGCATGCTCCCATCATCAATCCATGTCCAGGAACCGAAGTCCTCTTTTGACTTTATACGAAGTCCTAAACGGCTGTTTCACGATGCACGCAGAACACAGAATATTCTCGGGCTTTACTATCATCCCGATTGACCTCCCGATTTTCCGGCAGGGTTGGCAGAAACAGCTTCTAATTGGCCCATCATTACGCTGGGTCTAGATAGTATAGGGTGAGATCGTCCAGAGGTGCAGGCAGCCAAATAATATCACAATCATTCGCACAACACATGAGGTCAATGCTGCTTGACGAATTGTTAGAAGATTTCCGCGTGCGGAATCACAATAGTTTATCTTGAAGTCATTGACTATATAAGGTGTAAGAGCTTCTGACAAACGTATGTACGAACAAGTCTTGCCTCACTCATCAGCTTTCCACTTCCACATTTCATCAACTTGCATTCCACTCCTGTTCCAATTGTCGCAACAATGCCTCGACTTCCGCCCCTTGACAAGCTACCTCTTGCGGCACGCAAAAACCGTAAGTCAAAGCCTCTACGGAATGAGTTTTGATATTAATCGATGGTTCATAGTCCGCGATGAATGGCAGAACAAACAGGCAGACTTCGAAGAGCAGCTCTCGAAAGCCATGGGTGTTGATTGGAAGATCGACATTGAGGCTCTTGCTGTGGTGCCTTACGGCGCGGCGGACTCTTGGGCCCGTGAGAGCCCAGGCTCGATGATTGCAAAGTAAGACAACACTCGCTTCCCACAGCCAGATACACCCGCTCACACAGTCAGCTATGTCGAGGAGGCTATTAAGGAACTCGAAAGAAACCCCAAGTATCACGACGAAATCAATAAGCTGGCCTCAGCTCATGTTCTCACCATGGACGTGGATGAGGAAGAAACGTTTGATGCATGCGGAGTTAAGTTCACAAGCGATGGGAAGCTTGCTATAGTGTTCGGCGCCGACAGACTCGGCTCCAACACTGGCGACGCTTTCTGGCATAAGAACCTGGAGAAGGGAATCAGCTTGGCTCCTACTACGGACACACTGAGCTTCTATGCCCGCAAAGGCATCCGTGAGGACTACGAGCCGGACATTGCCGACGTACAGTCTGAGCTGAAGGATATCCTACACAAGGACATTACTCTACACCCCCACTTCGAGGAGGTTTATGGGAAACTGAAGCAGACCAAGAATGGAACCGACTTTGATCAATACCTCGGTGCATTTATACTCAACTACTTCCGTGGCCTGGTCAGTACGTTGAAGTGGCGCAAATTTGACAGCGATGACATGCTACAAGAGGCGTTGAATGAGGCTATGGAGAAGGGAGAAGTGCACTTTCGCATCCTTGATACAGTTGAGGGAAGCAGTGGAGAGGCAGCCATTGAAGATGGTATACTCTACTTGCAGGTTAGTCGACTTTGTCTTTCAACATCATGAATTCACGCTAATACCCGGCAGACATCCCCTGACAAGTGGGGATCAAACATTGACGACATCTCCAACAACATCATGGACCTACTTTGAGACTTCTTAGAATAAAGGGTTTTGGCTCCTTATCTTGGATCGGGCAATGAGGGTTGGAGAATTTGCTTAGTCTTGAGAGATGATGTAGATTCGGTGGCGAACCATCCTCAATAGATGACGATATGTTTTAATCGATATCTAAGCGTATAGACTCGATCGGAAAATCCGGGCCAATTGCAATACTGTAAATGTGTATTAATAGGCATTGTTGAAGACTTTTCTATCAGCTTGTTTAATGAAATATCACTAGCTGCGAACTATTGCTGAGACTATTGGCGTTCGTCCCGGTCTGGTTTGTCAAAACGGCAAATTGTGGGTACCCTCCTGATATTAGTCGATCTGACCGTTAAACTTGCCTCTAGTCTTGTGTAGATGGCGATTCAGCTCATTTCGGATTTTCCGGAGTCGCTAATCGTCGATTGAAATCTCAATCTGTAAGACTGTATCTATAAGAATGTCTCAGTTCAGCTTGATGATGTCTCGCATCAATCCCAATCATTCAGGCCTTGATACTTCTTATCGCTATGCACATTTCTTCTCTTTTCTCTACAGCTCTGCTGTTTTCAACGGCTGTCGCGGCTCCACAGCCAGATTACTCTGTAACAAGTGCGAGTAATCATGGCAAGGTTGCCAAGTATCAGAAGCAATGCCCCTTCAGCATTCCTCATGTTAAACCCCACAGCCAACGATATGAGCACACGATTAACTTCCCCAAGGGATGCGAAAGTGGCAAGTTCATCAACTGGAAGACATACAAGGCCAATGGCGTCAATCTGGGTGCCTGGCTCGCAAAGGAAAAGACCCATGATCCCGTCTGGTGGAATTCACTTGGCACCAAGGCCGCAGCTACTATCGACGAATGGGGCTTGTGCCAGGCTCTTGGAAAACAATGTGGCCCAATTTTGGAGAAGCGCTACGAATCCTTTCTGAATACTTCTACCATTGACACGCTTGCCAAGGTCGGAGTCAATACCCTTCGAATCACTACCACTTACGCCGCCTGGGTCAAGGTCCCTGGTTCTGCTTTCTATCATGGCAAGCAGCAGGAACATCTGCGAAAGATCACTCAATATGCTATTGAGCGATACAATATGCACATCATCATCGGCCTTCACTCCCTGCCTGGCGGTATCAACAACCTCGATATTGGCGAAGCGTTCGGGCATGATGGCTGGTTCTACAATTCTACCAATCTGGCTTGGAGCTTCAAGGCTGTTGACAAGGTTCTGGACTTTGTTAAAGCCAGCGGCCACAAGAATGCCTTTACGATCGCCCCTCTTAACGAAGCCAGCGATAACCTGGCAGGCTTTGGCTCAGCAGCTGGTCTATCCGACAAAGCGACCAACTGGGTTCTCACATACATGAACGGTGTTTTCCAGCGTGTCGAAGCTGTAGACAAGCGTATCCCAGTCATGCTACAAGATAACTTCAAGGGTGCCGCCTTTTGGTCTCCGCTTTTCGACAAGAAGCGTAATCTCGTCATTGACTCACACGTCTACTACTTTGCCGCATCGGGTACTTACTCACAGTATGTCGCACCTGCTGTGTGCGGGCAAGCAAAGTACCTTGCCGAGGAGACCAAATTTCCCGTGTTTGTTGGTGAATGGTCGCTGCAGACTATGTACAACAACACGCTGTCTGTGCCCAACCGCAAGACGATCTTCGATACTCAGCGCTATGCGTGGCAGAAGTATGTCGCTGGCGGTGCTTTTTGGACCGCTGTATCTTACTCCAATACGCCTGTGGATGGACAAGGTATCCAGAGGGATTACTGGAGTTATGTTGACTTGATCAGGGCTGGAGTTATTACCAAAGCCACAACTAAGAGCTATTGCTAAAGGGTTTTCATACTGATTGGTCGGAATTCTGGTTCTCTATTTACATATACCTTTCTCGTAAATACTTTATTTTTTTATTACACGTTTGTATCATCTTTTCTACGATATGAATTTATAGTTCTATCCCTATGATCTAGCATGTGTATATATCAATCTGTCTAGGCACGAATTAGCTGTTCAAGGAGCCTTTAACCTCTTCATTCAAGTTCGCGCTATCTCCCTGGCGATTCTCAGTTGAGCTGCCTTGACATGTTCGTGTCTACGTGCTCCCAGTGCTTTCTACCAGAACGCACTAAGCGCTAGCTCAATTATTGTCCACCATTCAAGACAGGGCTTTCTCCACCTGTTATCCTTGGGTCAGTTGGTTATTTGGGACTGAAGATTAAAAGCTCGGGTATGACGGTTCTTAGACTGTTTCGTCTAAATTGAGCGCTCGGTAATGAACGGGGATAATAACTGTGGGGATTGTCTTGAGAATTACGTGATGTGGAAAAGGGTTACATGGCGTTATCTGCAGGTTATCAACTCTCCAGTGGTGGAAATATTAGCCCATTGTCTTATGACCACGGGAAGTGGGATTTGTCGGATATGTGTGCCGTTGCAACTAGCATGGAGACTTATCCGATATTCAATCTCGAGGTGATTGAGAATTCGAAGGTGACGGACGAGTCAGACTCGAGAAACGGTTAATTGTTGCTGGAATATGCACTAAAACATCAAGATATAGTCAGCTGAGAAAGAGACCAGCTTTGATAAATAATAGACAAACTATTGAACTTTAGATAACGGTGTATTAAAGTCTAGATGCGATGACCTTTTCCTTAGTTCCTCTGACAGGTTAAGTGGTCCCTGACTGGCTCGGAGATGTCTAACTAATTACGCACCAATAACCGAATGCACTAACTCAACAACTCCAACCTAACATTGTAAGCTTGTCACTTAGCTCACTCCTTAACAATCTGCTCTGTATCTAACGGATCGAAATGTTCGAGAATGGAAATGCGGAGCTGGCATCTTCCGGTCTAGCCTTGCTTGAAGTGTTATACCGAAGCTAGTAGTGGAGGGTCTAAACCGCCAACATGGAACTATCTACATGCCAACAGGTTTAGTGGTTCTAGTCCGGTAGTGCTTGTAAGCCACATGCCGCGATCCGTCATCCATGTAAGATTGTTTATATAAAGCGAATGAATGTCCGGAGGAATGAGAATATCATGGCACAACTTCTCAATCTGCATTGCTTTACCCATATCACACAATGAGACTTGAAGTACTTTTCGCACCCGCATTTGCGGCTTTTGTTCGAGCTGCTGGTGTCACTGGCGCCGCTGAAGGCTTTGCCAAAGGTGTCACAGGTGGTGGCTCAGCCGCTACTGTTACTCCTACAACAACTGCCCAGCTCGTGTCCTATCTCGGTGACTCTTCTGCCCGAGTTATCATTTTGGACCGAACCTTTGACTTCACTGGAACTGAAGGCACAACCACCGCGACTGGCTGTGCTCCCTATGGCACCGCTTCAGCCTGTCAGCTTGCTATCAACAAGGACGACTGGTGCACCAACTACCAGCCTAACGCGCCCAAGGTGAGTGTCGATTTACCTTTCTGTTGTATCTAAAGCCCTTTTAACCTCTCAACCCTATTACAGGTCAGTGTCAAGTATGACAATGCTGCATTGAACCCCATTCTCGTGGGATCCAACAAGAGTCTCGTCGGTGTAGGAAGCAAGGGCATCATCAAGGGCAAGGGCCTTTACATTGCAAAGGGTGCCAAGAATGTCATTATCCAGAACATTCAGATTACTAACCTCAACCCTCAATATGTCTGGGGAGGTGATGCCATCGCCCTTGATAACACGGATCTTGTTTGGATTGATCATGTTACTACATCGCTTATTGGCCGGCAACACATTGTTCTTGGCAACAACCCAAGTAACCGAGTGACTATCTCGAACCACAAGCTCGACGGTGCTACGTCTTGGTCAGCCACTTGCAACGGCTACCACTATTGGGGCTTCTACTTTACAGGATCTGCTGATGTACGTCCTGTTCCCATGTCTTGTTTAACAGGATGATCTCCTTTCACCACTTTGGCTGTTTACTAACCTGAATAGACCGTTACTTTCAAGAACAACTACATTTACAAGACCTCCGGCCGTGCCCCCAAGGTCGGCGGAAACACCCTTCTCCACGCTGTCAACAACTACTGGTACGATAACGCCGGACACGCCTTCGAAATCGGTGCTGGCGGCCAGGTCGTCGCTGAGGGCAACATCTTCCAGAACGTAGCTACACCATTAGAGGCATCAAGCTTCGCTGGTAAGCTCTTCTCGAGCCCCAGCACCTCTGCTAACGCCGTCTGCTCATCCTACCTTGGCCATGTATGCCAAGTCAACGGCTTTGGAAGTTCTGGCACTCTCTCAGGCAGCGACACTGATTTCCTGGTCAATTTTAGTGGCAAGAATGTTGCTTCTGCTGCTGCTTACTCTAGCATCACCGGTCTCTCGTCAAGCGCTGGCTTTGGCACCATTTAGACTTTTGAAAGTTAGGAAGGTTGGGGCATTAAATGGAGGCTTTTAAGAACCCGAGAGTAGTTTAGCATGTACATAGTGCCTAAGTAAATAACAGTTGGCTGTTATAGTTTGCTTCTGTTGATCGATCTCTATCAACCAGTGTGAGACAATACAGTATGCGGTATTTCAATCTTGAACCAGTCAGAGGTCCTGGTTCCAGGTGCAGATGCAAACTTCTGGCATTCAAATCCTATTCTTGGTCACAAACCTACAGCCCAGATATCGCAAGTGTTGTCATGACTGCCATTGTTAACAGGAGCATGGCACAACTGCGCTCACCCATCCTGTTTCCTGAGTTCTCTTTAGTATCATCGTCTCCACTAGCTTTGGTGAAATCCGCTTCCTGATGAATAAGCGCCACTGCTGGAACTCTTGATACAACAAGGCTACCTCCCTTCAATTCCCCTGTTTGCATATCCCTTGTGAATGTTGCCACAGGAACAGGTCCTGTAAACTTATGGACAGTACGGCCACTTATGGTGCTTGTCAAGGGTACCGCGGTTGTTGGTATAACGAAACCGCAGATCTCTGAATATCCATATGAAGATGCGTCACCAAGTACCGAGTAGCAGTTTCCATTAAAGTCGAGTGTGTACTCGCTGAGTTGATTAGCAAGACGCCAGCCTCAAAAGATATTGCAAAGCCTACCTTGGACAGCAAACGGCTAGTGTCTCCGAAGGGTCCAATGCCTCATTCCAGACACTTGACGGATCTGCATGGAATGGCCGGCCTAGCTCCCACCTCTGCGGCACGGGTTCTGATTCTGTCTTGGTAAGAGCCCCGGATATCTGCGCAGCGCTACCCGTTCCTTTCACGTATTTCCCCACGGTTGTCCAGTTGGAGGGGCAGTATAGACCTGGTGAGTAGTAATGGTAAAAGCCAATATCAAATGTCTTTGCATATGTTGCTGTGATAAGGTGATCATACTGATCTCCGGATGGTATGCATTTCCCGTACAGCTGCATCGTGCAGGTAGGGTAAGCCCAGAGATATTCAGGTTTGTCGGTCTCCGCAGCAAAGTAAAGGTGATTTGGTTCAGTGGCACATGATGCTGGTGCCGTATGGGTTGTTGTCAGCGGCCCAAAGTTAGTTATTGTGGCCTGGGAGATGTAGGTTACGGTAGGCATCTTGTTGACAGGGTCGGAAGGTTTCTAATTAGAAATGCTTGCAAAGTAGCGAAACAAAGTCAGGCATTCCTAACAATAACATTAGGCCCTCAAATACTGGTACAATTGTCATTTAAGTATTTGTGTCTTCAAAATAGGCCGGAACTTAGAATGCAATGTGGCGCATTACCTGCTGCTGGATGTGGCCAATTGGTTATCTTCTTGGGGGCCAAACACCACTCGGCATCAAAAGGACTACTGCTACCTGCTGCATTTGGTCTAGGTTGGTGTGGCACGGTTAAGGATAGCAAGCTGCGCCGCTGAAATCAGGTTTTAAAGCCGGGAATGTCATTCATGTGATCTAATTATTTCTCTCTGCTGTGTTTAAACAAGGATTGAGCTTAAACAGCTGGCAGTGGTTGGTTCGGTGGCTGATGCAAGTCAATCAATCAACGCTCTTGAGCTCAAGAGGTTGGTCATCCGGCTAGTTATTTTGCGGACAACCGCTGACGTTGTCTTTATTCTTACTTGAGGTTTCCATCTAACGTAGATAGCTCCAGCCTCTCTTCCAGCCTATTGCATATCCTGGTAAGTGTTCTATACAAGATCGATTGGCTACGTAGGTATGGGAGCCCTATTCAGGTTAGTGAGATACTTACCAGACACATTAGTAAAACCGCATTTAAAATTTACTGTTAGGCCACCTAAGAGGATTGGGGTGAAAATAGAAGTTGTTGTTGACCAGGAGAGTATTTTGTACGTCATACACCGTAAAATCTGATCTTGAAGTTGTAGGATTAAGAATAATCAAGGAACTGTAAGTATCTATAGCCGTCTGGCCAGTCTCGAGGTTAAACCTTCTAGCCATCTGGAAAGACTCCCCCTTGCCTTACAATGATGGTAGCCATTTTTCCTGCGTTGAAACATGGAATTAGATAGGTGCTACTTAAGTAATAGAGCTATTGTATGGCCAGCAGGTATGTTTTTTTGGTGTGCTATTAAGAGTGCTATTCTAAGTTGCGAGACTTAAGAGCTCATGCTTACATCAAATGCCTTGCCTCGCTACAGCTATTGATATCCTCTTTACAAGCAAGGTACATCGCATCAAATGATAGGACTTTTCAAAACCAGACTTCTGCCAGTCTGTGATAAATTCCCCATGTCTAAGAAAACATCATTCTTAGACTTTCTGGTAACACCATTACCAAATCGGAATGCTCTCCAGAAGTGGCTACACTAAAATTTATCGTCCTCAGGGGGCAGAATTCCTCTACACTTCCAGCATTGTGCTCCGTTGTGGACATAACTTGATGGACGTGCGTTCTAAGAAGGAGTGTCCTTGTCCGTATTTGTCACCTCTATGCGACACAACCACTTCCATTCCCGCGCACTTCAATGCTAGTCGTCTCGGACAGTTGGAATTTGTTCGTATTATATAGGGGGAACGAATCGCTTTTGTCTCTATCCGCGCACCGAGCTATTCCCGTTCGCCTATTCTGGTCCACTCCGAAACAACAAGTCATGGTTGTCTAGTTTGTTTCGGATATTATCTCCACCAACCATCGAACGTGCATTGATCAACGAACTGGGCGTCGATCTTCGGGCATTTGTCCGCCAATTACAACAGACATTTGTTTGCTATTCCATCTTTTGCATTTGACCTATAAAGATGTCGAGATGCCAAGCAAACTAATCACCAATTGATCTAATCAGACAAATAACAAACTCTCAATATGCCTTCTTCCAACCAGATCCTCTCCGTCCTCGCGGCCATCGCCGTCGCCACTGCCAACGCCGCCATGGGCCCTGCCTTTAGCACTGGTCCTGTTGGCTCTGGTTCCTGGATCCGCGAGGCCACATCAACTCTTGTCCTTCCTGACGTCCCCCAGGGTTCTACTGGTGTTGCCTCTCTTTGGGTTGGGATGGGCACCGACAAGGGTGACTTGATCCAGTCGATTGCAGACAACTGGCAGTCCGACGAGTGGAGCATCTTTGCTTACACTCTCACCAAGACTGGAGATAACTCTCAACTGCCCGTTCAAGATGAGCACCAAACTCCCGCCAAGAAAGGTGATCGTGTCACCATGCACTGTAAGAGGCACATGAATCCGAACTAGAATGGCTGAACTGACCGCCTGCCACAGACAAGTATGATGCCTCCACTCAGGAGTACGTACAATATGTCTCCATCAACGGCAAGCAAGTCTCTACTCTCTCCACCTCCAAGGGCCACGAAGCCATGGGCTTTGGCAGCTCAGTTGAGTGCGGTGCCTCGGACTGCGGAACCATTGGTGCTCACCGTAAGTAGCAAGAAACAACCCGAGCGTGACTACATACTAACAGAATACTCAGAGTGGGTTGACACCAAGATCATCCTTGACACTGCCGATCCGAACTACATCCAGACTTTTGGAAAGGGTGAAGGGGTTACTGGTGGTGAGATGACCACTAGCGATGGTGGCAAGACCTGGGATATTAGCGATGTGAACATTCCCTCATTTACGTTTTAAGTAGTGTTTTATTAATGCTTGTCAATATATTGGCCTTAATTGTATACTATCCTTGGAGAGCTTCTACTAGTTACAGTTATTACCAAGAGGAGGAATAGCTACTATAACAGCCAAGGTCTCCGTAAAGAGATTGAAAAAGGTAGTTATCTTACACGCTAGTAACAACCCTGACTTGCAGGAGTTCCGCTCCAGAACTTACAAAATGCATCATGCCCGAGGTCTCGCTTGGCAAAGAATGCGCAGTCAGGCGTGTCAATGCAGTATTACATACACCTCCCAGGATGAACGAGCGAATCTAAGTAGCAGGATGGAATATTTCCTGAAACAAGTTGGTATTACTTGCCGCTGCATTTGCATCAAAATAGGAGGCCCATTATTGGCGCCATTGACCATAAGTGGTCTTTTGAGACGAGAGGAGAAGTTTGGAATGGTATCATACTGATATGGCTCCATTACGGTTTGAGGCTGAGTTGGACAGCTTAGCAGTACTTAGGCTCTTTATCGTACGATAAATGTAACAGGATTTAGTAGTCACAGCCCGGTTGGGTTGGTTATACCTGCACTTGATAGGCTGATGGTCAGAGCTTAGCGAGGCGGGTTGCCCTGTCCGTTTGCACTTGCGAAATATAAAATGAGTATCTACATACGTGCGAGGCGCCGGACGAATATGCTAAGTATCAGCCCAAGCATTTAACCTACTAGCTTCCGGTGCTACATCAGCCCGTTAGATGCTCCAGTTCTGTAGGATGCACCACGATCCTTAAGGGAAGCAATGTAGCGAGTGCGTTCAAGAGTTGGTCATGAGGATTATCCCTTGATGACTTCATCAAAGCGCGATTACGGCGGTCACAGCGGGACCAAGGAAAATAGGCCACCTCTTAGAATACTATCAGAATAATATTGGTGTCATGGATAAACTTGGGTTGAAAGACCATCTATGCTACAGCCGTTGCCAACATCGTAACTGTAACGCTCGAGTCAGGTGGAACGGGTCTAGGATCGATTGTAAAGGCTGTTGTTAAGTATCAACTATATATCTGATCTACTAACATGGTAAAACTACTTTTTAGTCATCCTTTGCGACTTCACAATCGTCTTTATGTACAGCAATGTTGAAACTAGAGACGACCATCGCGAAAATATAGCTACACCCAGAGCAACGACCAGGCAAGCACAAAAGACACGAGGCCACCGAGCTTTTTGGCGTTTCTCAAGCCAACTAACTTCCCAGTCTGACCATGTGGGAAACATGAAGCGAATGGTTTGATATGCCATAGAGTATCTTGCGTGCAAATTAGTCAAGGGCACGGTAACATATTGGCTGTCGGCTTTACTCACGGGTATGACATTGAGTTGCGACCGTCGTCATTAACATACCAGTTGTGGCAGCCACCGCCGTTCCATACCGTTTTCTTCAAATCGGACTGAACTTCTGCATTATACTTATACACCGCAGATCTCGTGACCTCCACCTTCTGCGCTTCACCAGAAAGGATGGGACGCATCAGTTTGATAGCCTGAGCCACTTGGTTTTCGAGGCCGAGTACAACACTGCTGTGCCCGGTGAAGCTGTTAGGGCCGAAGAGCACAAACATGTTGGGAAACCCGTCAAGGGCGGTTCCACGATATAGCTGTGGACCTCCTCGCTCGTCAAACTCCTCTTGCAAAGTCGATCCTTTACTCCCGACGATTTGGAGAGGATGAAACCACCGATTGACGGCAAACCCGTTGGCAAGAACGATGATGTCAGCAGGAATGCTGCGGGAAACTCCCGTGTGCTTCTCTGCTGGATGGGTTTTTGAGCCTGGACCTAGATTCACGCTTTGTTCGTCAACACTTTTCATAGCCAGAGTTGTAAGCTCCATTCGAGAGTCGTGTAAACAAGGGAACCAGGCTGTGTCATAGATGCGTCGCTTGCAACCGACCGAGTAGTAGGGTGTCAAAATGTCATGATACTGATACACTTTTGTCAGTAAGGCATTTAGGAATGGGCCATGATGACCTACTTTGGGAGGGACCGTTTCCCTCATGTGTTTGAGCAGCTGTCTCTGAAGAGTATCCCTCTTCCTCTCACTCCAGCGCTCTGCGCCAAATAGCCCAAAGTCAAGTTCAGTGGCCAAGGCTACAACAGCTCTAAACATTTGCATGTAGCCTGGCACATATTTGCATAGAAATGGGCTCCAACTTTTGTAGAAGCTGTCGCCTAACGGAGGCGTTACGCGAGGCAGCACCCAGGGAGGCTCTCTCATGAGCTGCGTAACGTGGCTGGCTCCATAATCGCTCGAGAGCAACCGAGGGACAAGTTGAGCGGCGCTGCAGCCGGTTCCCACAACGACAACGTTTTTACCATGGAAGTCAACGCTTGAGTCCCACCTTGCCGAATGTATAATATCTCCTTGGAACTTATCCTTGCCGGGAACGTCGGCAGGCCAGGGAGCAGGCTCTACGAGACCTCCGACGGCGCTGACGAGGACTGAGCACGTCCACGTTGTCTCGCTCGAGTAAACAAACGATGGGCCCTTTGTATCTTCAATATGCTTTCGGTCTGCGGCAGAGAGATCGCCGACGCCATGTAGCAGGCGTTGAAAGGTGACTTCCCAAAGGTGGACTTTAGGGTTCCATTTACACGAAACCACTTCCGTACTCAAGTGGATATTGTCTCGTAGGTCGAAATCATCGACGACTTTCTCGATATATTGTCCGATTTCCCGACCTGGCGCAAAAAACGTTGACCAGTCCGTTTTCTGAGCGAATGAGAGTGAATAGAACGGTGAAGGGCTGGTAAAGCTGTCAGCAAGTCTGGAGTACCTAGCAGTTGTGAGAAGAGACGGACATGTCACAGGCTATACCTGGATAGGTGTTGATCCACCAGGTGCCTCCTATGCCCGACTGGCGTTCCAGTACACAAAAGTCGGTACAGCGTAGCTTTGTTTTCAGTTGGCAGGCCATAGCAATGCCCCCGAATCCTCCTCCAATAATGATTACCCTCCTGTGTTGCGGACCGGGCCCTGGTCCATCTTGGCCTAACATGACGAAATCCGAGTAAGTGGAATCGATCAGAAGTGATGGCTATTTGCCTTTTGACTGATGTAGGGTTTGGACAACTAGCTATGGTAAAGAAGTATGGGAATGAAATACCTCCACTAATACTATCAATGTCGAAGCTACGAATGAACGTTTTGGATCGAGTTACCAGGAGTCACGAGAGAACACGCAACACTCATATATGTTCCTCCAGCTCAATTGCCTCTCAGGCCCAAAATCATCATGTGAAAAGCAATGTGCCCTCTAACGACCAGACCTAGCCTCGGATGTTCGGTCAATTACAATCACGGCGTTGGATTTCGGGGTCCGCGGGAGCCTTTGCGTTATCTCAATACAGCAATTATCCCTGGCGTACGTATACCTAATCAGCTACGGATGAAGCGGCATGCTACTAAACCCCGCACCCTTTAAAACTTTAATACGTGCTGCATGAGCGGCTACATAAAATGAAACAGGTTCTTGCCGCGCTTTCGTTGTAACAGTTCCGCTCTCCGTTTTGTGGTTCCCCACTCATCTTGTGTCGACGCCAGCAGTACACATCACGGCTTCTCTATCTTCTTGCCGGGCCAGCATCATGATGATACAGGCGGCTAATATTGGCCATGGCACTGCGAGACCCTACGTGGGAAAGTCAAGACAATTCAAGCGGTCTAGAACCGGCTGTCTTAACTGCCGACATCGGAAGAAGAAGTGCAGCGAGGAGAAACCACAATGCGGCGGTTGTAGTCGGAATAATCTCCACTGCGCTTGGCCACAAGACGTGAACGAGAAGGCTATCTCGCCTCCGCTTCCACCTCTGCCCAGGGATTCCATAACCATCACAGATGAGAGCCAATCATTCGGTGTACATGGTCCGTCGCCATTATTATCTAAAGCTACCCACACAACTAGTATTTGGAATGGGCTCTCTGGTTCTTTCTTAAATGCGAGGCGATCATGTAATCTCAAAAGAGAATCTCTTCTTCTCTTACAGCATTATATCACAACTACGGCTCCCATGCTTCCTATGCCCATTAAGGGGAACCCATTTCTCTCGGAAATTATTCCTATTGCTTCAGTAGACGACCTGGTAATGCACAGTGTGTTGGTCATTAGTGGAGCACACATGAACTTTGGGAATATGTCCTCCAGGCCTATTGGCGAGGCAACCCTAGATCATTACAGCACGTTAATTCGTCAACTTGTCATCGAGGTCTCGGACCATAAGGGATCCTGTGTGAACAAGCTGGCCCGGTTGTTGCTTGTCTTGGTGATGCTGTGTCACTTCGAGGTTGGTGTTGGATCATCACCCTTGCCATGTACTGAACTGATTGCTGATGTCGACTTTTACACAAATGTAGGCTTTATCTGGAGAAACAGACGGAGCAATGTTCCGCCATCTTGGTGCGAGCCGAGAGATCATGGCCGAGATAGAAAGTCGTCAGCCGACAGAGCCATTGGGATCTGATTCAGAGACTCTTTATGGTCTTGGCCTCGAACTATACGCCTATCTCATCTTCGTCAACTGCCTCACTCCGTACGGCTTCCTTCACGAGCGCCAGTTCTACCTTGACTCGTTCATCATCTCACCCAGCAGCCTGGCTAGCTATAGCACGTTTGGCATCATGTTCGCCGGCCTCCATGATCTCTTTGCGCTGATACCGCAGATATCGCTGCTATTTCGTGATCGACTGATAGATCAAGAGTCCGGAATCATCGAGCCCTCAATTTCTTGCGTCGAGTTATACACTCAACTGGAGCGATGCCTCGAAGACTGGAATCTCTCTCAAAAGGATCTGGTTTCACCATTTCTAAGCGATGACTGCAAACATGACCTGAGCAAAGTTATCAAGATTCTCCAGCTGGGTATCGAGATATACCTGGTTGCATCCATGCAAGGGTTATCCGTAGTAAACCCAAAGATTGTCTGCCAACTTCAGAGTCGTGTCGATGGCATCCTTGACTTGGCGCTCGCTTTACACTACTCTCAATGGTCCCCAATACTGCTGTGGCCTATTGTTATTTCTGGTTCTTGTATTGTCCAAAGGCAGCAGCAAAAGCATCTTACGAAAGCTTTACGAGAATCTAAGTACCGTATGAACCATGTTACAAGGACTATTAGCTTACTTCATCGACTTTGGGGTAACCCTGATCCTCTGATATATGGACCTTATGGCCTTTATCTTACAATTTCGCAAAGTGATACTACGTTTTCTATTCTATAGATCGATTTGGAGTTGTTCAGAATTGATGTCCGTGAGATTATCCTTCCTTCCTCGCTCGTGCCTGCTGTGCATGCTGCACCAGAAGCCTTATTACAAGTGATATTTGTCAAAACTATAAGTCTCAGGCCAGGGTATGCACTAGGAGCAGCAGAGATTGAAAATTCAGCGACTTGATACAAATACACTCTCTCTTTCGTAGAAAATTATTCGAGGCCCAGAGCAATGCAGAGATATAGCTTGTCGTGACGAAGAAGCCATACAATGGCGTAACAGGACCGCCTTAGAGCAAGGCAATTTGCATGCTTGAGGATACCCCGGCCCAGCTGTTGCAGATGTTGAAACTCAGGGTCAACATGCTGAAGAAACCCAGTTCTTGTTTTGTGAGCACCAATTTAGTGGCTGCGTCCACGATCCTGAGGTTTGGGTCTCGGGGCGGCTCCTTGATGGCTTTATCAATTTTCTGTAGCTCCATACTTTCCTCAAGTCTTGGAGCGTCTAAGCAGACGGTAGCAAGCTGGTAGCTATTTCTATTGCAAATTGAGAGGAGACAGTACTAGAAAGCCATTGTCAGAGTTATGATATACGGCAATTAACCAAGCCAGCTTTATGACAAAGACTCATATACATAATGTTAACAAATCTGACTGAATACGTTGATTTAAATGAACGCCAAAGTGCTAGTAACTATTTTTCGGAGACATTGTAAAAACCCCAATGTGAAAGCTGAGATGCAGCCTCTGGTACTTACCAAATCAAGCACCAGTACAGTCTTTGCCTTACACTTTGAACGGCGCAAAGATAAGAGGTAGCGCGGATAGATAAGAGAAGGTAACTAATGCAACCACACAAATGGTCTCTAAGCGACCGTCACTACCCCACCCCACGATGTATACGCATAGGATTCAATGCCATTTACCGAACCTCTAGGTAAACTGTGTTTATCAATCGCCTTTTCTGTAACCATTGAGATCTCGTTGGTGATTATCGTTACTGACAAAGACCGACGGAGTTACCCTTGAATCGCAGCGGACACCGCGGACGCCGTAGGTATAGCATGATGTTAATAATACTTGTATTCAATCAACTGTTTTATGACAACAAGTATAAAGCTATTCTTATTTCCTACCTCAGAGCTTGAGCAGTTTCCCAACACCAACTTCAAGTCAATAGCAAGGCTTCTATCTTGTCAAGCTTTATCAGCATCTCACCACCTCCATCCTTCCATCATGGCGACCATGCAGGAAATCTTCAAAGGCTTTGAGGAGCGTCAGGCCAAACTTGTTGAAGACGGGTTGAAGAACCCACTTGCCCATGGTGCCGCTCTTATTGATGGCCAGATCACACCTCTCCTAGACGCCAAGATTCCTATCCTTGATCAAGGTTTCCTCCACAGCGATCTCACCTACGATGTCCCAGCTGTATGGGATGGAAAGCTCTTTCGATTCAATGACCACCTTGACCGGCTGGAGAAGAGCTGTGCTAAGCTGAGGCTCAAGCCCCCGATGTCCCGGAACGAGATTGAACAGGCCACTATAAACTTGATCTCAAAGAGCGGCATCCGGGACGCCTATGTTCAGATCATTGTCACCCGCGGCTTCCGTTTCATCCGAGAACCTCTGCCGACCAATGATACACCAGAGAATCATCCCATCTACATTCTAGTCATGCCCTATATCTGGGTAATGCCCTATCAAATGCAGCCGGCTGGTGGAGAGGCCGTCGTCACCCGCACTGTTCGTCGGATTCCACCGGGTGCAATTGACCCAACTGTCAAGAACTTGCAGTGGGGTGATTTGATCAGGGGCCTCTTAGAAGCTCAGGATCGCGGCTCGCAATATCCATTCCTGACTGATGGTGATGGAAACATCACCGAGGGGGCAGGGTATAATATTGTGTTCGTTAAAGATGGAGCTCTGTATACAGCCAAAAAGGGTGTTCTGGAAGGTATTACGCGGAAGTCAGTGTTCGACATCGCCAAGAAGGCTAAAATTGAGGTCTATCTTGACGATGTTTCTGCTAGCTTGGCGTATGTATGTGATGAGATCTTTATGTGCACTACGGCTGGTGGTATTATGCCAATCACAAAGCTCGATGGCGAGTCCAAGGGAGAGGTTGGACCTATCACAAAGTTGATCTGGGATGGATATTGGGCAATGCATTATGACTCAAAGTACACGACCAAAATTAGTTACGAGTAAGCATCGTCGATACTAGAGTTCAGCCTACTGGGATTTAATATAAAACCGTCTTTGCAAGATAGACTTGGTACCTATTCCAATCTAAACAGTAAGGATACTACCCTGGCAAAGCCCTCCTCACGGTTGAAAAGCAATGGGCAAGTCGGGTTTCTCCATTCATTCCTTTTAGTTGCTGAGTCGTAGGTATCTGGCTGCAACTCTGGGGCTCGTGCAGTTGCGGTCTGTTGTCTGCAGCTGATAGGCCTAAAAATAAGTAGCCCATCTGAAGAATTAAGTCCATATGCATGTCTTGCCATCCTCCAAGGTGATCGGCTGGAACATGTCATGTTACGAAACATCAGCCGCACGAGGCTGGCGCTTATGCAGCATTCTCTTAGCAAAGATATCTCTCAGCGTCTTTCCAAAATCAGAATTTGCGCCAACACAAAACGTAAACCGTCGGTATATCCTGTATCACAGATGTTTACATCATGGTATGACGGCTTTTGGCAGCAATATACTATTGCTCTCATGTGAGCGAATAGCCACTTCGGCAACTATACTACACTTGTCAGGTTAGTCGCGCGGGCAAAGCTGGTCGCTTTAGGTTTACCTTAAATCTAGTAAGTAACGAGAAGTAGTCGGAAGATCTTCATTCAGTTGCAACATCTCAGTCCTTCAATCTTCGTGAGCTTAAATCGAACGACTGGGACGCGGTTGAGGATTTCTTGAGAGACTGCACCAGATCTCAACGAATCTAATGATCCTCCATTTTCTGCTCTCGATACATCTTATTCAACTGAATGTGCCACAATTTGTGGTGATGATTCTATCTGCAGCTTGTGAATAATACTTCTATAACAGATAGTTGGTTCTTCAGAGACATCAATTCACAGCTCTAGCGCGGCCCATTTTAGACTGGCCTATCAACGCTGTCTGACCAACAGCCAAGGGCTAAAATCAATGAGCTATTGATTCAGCTCTGCATCTGTGATTGGCTGCATTGGAAATTTGCTACCATTGGAGAGCCGCCAAGTGAATGCACTGCCTCACGTGAATCAGGTTTTGCTGACGCGCGAGGCCTCACAAATTCTGCTTATCTAAATGCTCAAAACTCATGAAAGCCTGGGTCTCTTGGCAATTCTTCACTCTCGCTTGCACTTGACTAATTAATTCCGGAGTTATGGGCGGCTCCGACGAAGAGAGGGAGAAGGAGAAGGAGAAAGAGCGCAAGAGGGACATAGTGGGAGACTTTCTGTATGCGTCATTTATTCGTCAGCAGCACCGCGATCTGCTACGCGATCCTTCCCGCTAGACCTTCCCTGGTTCGTCCGCTGACGTTTTCTCTCGTAGGAAAAAGAATTTGAATAAAGGCGAAATAGCATTGAAGCATGCAGTGGGTCTCGGCAGCCAGCCCAATGTCGTCCCAGTCACTGAACCTGTCGTCGATGGACCACGTCGTCCGGTCGAAGTTGGATGGCATCCTGTCGGCGGATTTGCCGGAAAGTGGTTCGCGGAAGAGACGGGACTGGGCAAGATGATCACGGAGAAGATCAACAAGTATCCTGATCCGACGCAGCATTGGGCTGTTCTCGTTGGTGACTATGCTCATCAGCTATGGATGGTGAGTTTGATTATCATTCGCGCAGGGCGAGACGGGAGCTCATGAGAAACAGGATGAGAACTTTGATGTCATTTACACGAATGCAAAGATTGAGCGAGACGAGTGGCGGACATTCCCGGTTGGAGAGACGCGCTTCAACGATGATGCCTTAAGGCGAGCTGGTGAGTACAAGTCTCTGGTTGACACCATCCAGGTCTTGAGGGATGACATGCTGATACTGCGACAATAGGTGAATCAGTCATCCATAGTATCAGAGAGAGGCAGCCCACTTACAACCTCATAACCAACAATTGCCAGACGTACGTCCTGCAGCTCCTCGACGCCATTAAGGTTGGCGTGAATAAAGAGTTCGGCACTACCCTGGCTGTCTATGAGAGAGTTTTTGGACCTGGCAAGATCAAGGATCTCTTCGATGGCGAAGAGAAACCGGAGGATCAGCAACAGCACCAGATTGAGCAAGGGGGAGAACCTGGAGCAGAGGCGGGAACACAGGAGCCGATGCACCCGGGCAGATCGGATACAGTCAATCTGGCACAGGATGTCATGAACCAGAACACCAATCAACTAGATACCGAAAGGGAGATGGAGAGGCATGAGGATGAGAAGGACGAGAAGGAGAAGAAGAAAAAGGGCTTCTTCTCGCGCTTTAAGCGAAGTAATAGTTAGTTTTAGACTTGCCTCAAGCAAATTGATGAGGTTTTTATATACCACTTTGAAGGATGATTCAGCAGCACTTCCTCTTATTGCCAGGGGAGTTTATGTAGATACCGAACTGGCACATTCTAGATTTTCCACTCGCCTTAGCATAACATACTGAGCGCCACATGAATTCTTGCGGGCTTGAAGGCTTTGGGCAGATCATCATCTTTGAACAACATTGCGTACCTTTTACGTCGTGTTTCGTGTTTCTCAACTTATTTAGTTATTTTCTCTTTAGGGCAGGTCATCATGGCATTGACTTTTGTCTATCTCGACAAGTCGCAAGGCCTACAAAGTATATGCGAGTGGACAGTAGCTAGATGTTAGAATGCTCACCATCGTGACTTGCTAAGTATTCGTCGCCGACGCAAGATGAGGAAGGGTTCAATCCTTTACCAGCTCCTCATTCTCGCTACAGCAACCAGATCCCACTACGCACTCGGGTAGAATACCGCCACTAGAGTTCTGACTCCACGAATGTTCTTCTAGAATAAGACTATCTCCATTCTAGGAGATAGGCTACTTTAGGGTTATAAGGCTAATAAGCAATGCTTGCAGGGTTGACGCATCTGCTTTTCTACCCTTGGGCCATTGTTATTCGACTAGGATATTAAAAATCGGGTCATAAGCCCCCAAGACATCCCATCCACCAATGACCTGATGCCATCTTATTTATCGCATTCGACTACTTCTCGGTCCCGAGAATGTAAGCGAGGTCTTGGCAATTACAGTCTGGACTACACGAGGTGACGTTTCTACAGATGCGAGGTTCACGAAGGATGAGTTTATTGCCGTCGCATCCGCGCTAGCCAATGGCGTCTTCTTGTTTAATGGCGCATGGTGTTCTGAAACATGTGCGACTGCTGTCAGCTTGAGGCATTTCTCGAGCTGAAGTACTCGTCCTGCCCGAAGCGGATAGCTGTTTGTTCAGTGGCTCGAGTCAGCATGGTTAAGATATCTCCGCCGCCTGGTTACAGTGCGACACTTAAACGTGTATATGCCTGGGCTTGTTATTTCCTATAAGACATCAACGTCTGTTCAGCAAAGTCAAATTCAGTTATTCATCTATCTATATCACATTCAGTTATTTTCCATTAAACAGATTCTTACAAAATGAGTCAAACCAGTCTTGTTGAATCGAGTTCTTCCGGCGAGGCTCCCCGCAATGCATTATCACTCCGACTAGAAGCGCCTCTCTTTTCCCAGGCACCCATTCCTCCCAGCAAGCAATCATTCAGCATCCAGGGCCGCTACGTCTACGAAACAGAAACCAGCCCGGCTACCCCGATTTATCACATCTCCAATCGCAATACTCAAGCCGGTAATCCATGGCAGATACAAATCTGCCGCCTTCTACCCAGTGAAGTTCGTCGCCTTAGTGAGGCTTCAGGGAATGATGCTTTCATCAGATACGACGATGACTTGACTCTTTACTCTGGAGAAAAAATGAACATCCCTTTCAGCTTCGCCGCTGGTCTTGGTCCCACGCCACTCATTGTTATTAGGGGCCAAAAGAGAGGTACTATCCAGGGAAGCATTGTGATGGAAAAGTCTGGCCGGTCGTGTAAATTCCAGCACATGATTCCTATCAAGCGTGCCTTGACCAAGGTGGAAGAGGATAGGATGCAGGCTCTCATGCATAAGCGTGGATACCGTGACTCCGATGATTGGAAGAAGAAGCTTCTGTTGACGGTGCAGGAGAACTCGGCCAAGTTAGTGGAGTGGGTTGATGAGTATGGAACTGTCGTTGCTGTTGAGAAGGATGATAAGCTGGAGTTTTCAGGAGAGATTCAGACGGAGAAGAAGGATCTCGTTGTTGCGTGCTGGGCCTGCAAGGGATTTGTACTCGAAAAGACTACATAGATAGTTTTCACCGGCCGAACTTAGGAGCGGCAGAGACAATACTAAACTCATCCTATGCAGTGATCAAGTTCTCGATGAGAGGTCTAATTGCAACCGAAAGTCTAGCTCACGACTTTGGTCGTGTGAAGTTGGTGTTGTTTGCATCAACCGGGAGGACTGCCTTCAAAAGAGGATACAGATGCCACTTACGGGAACAATATACTGGACATGAACGAGGGCCATTGTGTACTTGGCAGGAAATGACGTAAAGCCCAAGGATACTTCCCTTGCCCCTCTGGTCTGCGTTTATATTCCTTCAGGATTTCAACATAAGTCAATATTTCAGTGAGACTGGATATCCAATGAGTTATGCATTGTCATCATAACTATGCTATTAAACTAAGAACCCAATTACGAGACGTCATCCATATAGATCTTCCCTCTATACCGTCTGTAACCTAATATGCAAAAACCACCCCATCTATGCGCCGAATCTATTTTACAAACTCCCCGATTACCATGCAAGGTCCTTGGCTATTTTACCGCACGAGAGACCAGAGCAGGAAGAGTATAAGCTCTCATCTTGCTCAGTCTTGGTAGCAGACTTATCCAGAATCTGCTGGGCGGGCCGAATCTCACGGCCAGCAACACCCTCGAGCTTGCGGTGGTGCTCGACTAGTTGATACACTTGGTTCTGGAATTGGAGAGGGGTTTGGTCGACGAGGACGCCGGCGCGAAGGTTCTTCTCTGCGGGGGCTTCTTGCTCGCTGGCTGTTTGCTGGAGAATCTCTTCGACCTTCTTGAAGTCGGACTCGCTGGCGCTCTTGTGGCGGTAGACTTCATATTGTAGTTGGGACTTAGTGGCTGACGTTGGAACACATCGCAAGAGGAAGAAGAAGTGAGGGCTGAACCTGTTAGTCGTTGCTGGTCACAATTTGTTTGATGGGGGACTTACGAGATGGTCATGGAGGCGTTGGGGAAGAAGAAGTCGTTGGCAACCGATTTCTTCTCGGCAGCGTTCTCAAAGTTATCGATGTTGCTACCAGTGCAAGACTTGTCGGCCAATGTCTTCCAGTTGAAGCTGCTAGTGTCTTGCTTGACATGATCAAACTTGTAGTCGTCAAAGTTGAAAGATGCGTGGTTCGCCGATTGGCTGAGGTCCTCACTCCATGGGTTCTCGGGCACGGCCTTGGCATCCATGTTGACCCAGATAAAGCCCTTAGCATCAACGTGAGTGTGGAGAGGGAAGAGACCGTTCTTGGAGCGATCAAAGCCGGGGAGATCCTGATACAGAGGAGCCTTGGCAAGCTGGCCGTTCATACCATAAGACCAGCCGTGATACTTGCAGGACAAGACGTTGTTCTGGCCATTATCCTTGACAACGACGGGAAAAGCACGGTGACGGCAGATGTTGTGAAAGCCCCTGATGGTACCCTCTGCATTTCGGATGAGGAAGAAGTCGAAACCAGCTTCAGCGTATCGAACCCAGGCTCCAGTCTGGTCGAAGCGCATCTTGTGAGTGAGCAGGATCCATTTCTTTGAGAAGATGGCTCTTCGCTCAAGTTCGTAGATGTCGTCTGACTTGTACCATGTTGAAGGGAGGGGTTGAGTGAGGGGTGCAGCGGCGGGGATGGCTCTTGAGATAAGGTTTTCCTTTTGTGGTTTAGATAGTGTCTTCGCGATGAGGGCGATGGCAGCCGCTATGGCGAAGAAGATGAGTGTACCGAGAGTCAACATGTTGTTGCTGGAGGTCAGAGTACCTTGAAGTGATGGATGTTTACCGATCTACTGCTGAGGGGGGCATGTCAATCTATATATTTACTACGCGTGTCATTGATCTAGACCCGGCCGACATTCTGTTCCCATGGCCAACGCCACTTTTGGCCCAAACAATGATAGAATGATTGCAAGATAAACGGGCATCCCGCTAAGCAACCGGTCATGTGATCGGTGATAAGGACATTTTCTCTAGTCCCAGCGACAAATGCCAATGACGGGATTGGACGCAGATCAAGTGGACCATGGAGTTTCTTCCGCGCTTGAACGGTTCCACGCCGTCAAACCCGGGTCACATTCCCCTCTTGTATCGAAGCAAGGTCGCAGTGACGCATCAGCTGGCTGAAGCCATCCGCGGTACTTGTATTACAATTTCCTATCGTGTTCTAGGTTATCGCACCCCGCATCTTTCGACCTCCGCATTTCGCTCAGAGATACCGGACTTTTGTGTCCGTGCCCCGATGTTTTGGTCCTTGTTCGGCATCGGTAAATCGCAGCCGGTTGCGGGGGGTTCTGCTCTGCTATCTATCTCTGCCCGTGGCACGGCATTTCAATTGCTTCTAGATAACGAAACGTTCTGGACCTTTTCTAGAATTTTGATGTTACATAAATATGCGTCGCTTCCCGGAGTATCACCCGCCGCTATGCCATTAACCGGTAGCTTGCCGGCGACTGACAGCTCAGAGGGCAACAGGTGACTTTCATGACGGCCCAATTGCTTGACACCGCCGTTGCATCTTTCCAAACACGGGTTCGTCTGCATGGGGAGTATGTTTTTGGTGTTGAGGGGTAAAGAATTGAGCGTCTGCCGTCGGTCAGCTTCTATTAGCAGCATGGACTACTGATATAGATAGTCGCTTTGCCGCGCGATAAGATCCCGAGACCGGCCAGTCCAGTCTCCGCAAGGGTATAAATTCCCAAGGTGCGCTGCGATAAGCTTTCAGGTACGGAATACAGCTTGCAAACCCCATCCTATTGTAAATTCGCATCGGACATGTACCAATTGCTCCACGAGGTAATTGGTAAAGTCACAAAGTGGAGCATTTTACCAACTCCGAGCATGACCAAAGTAAGATTGCTTATAACTGTGTAGCAGTGAGCACTTATTGATCTTAAAAGAGACTGAAGTCCTGTTGTTACTGGGAAGTCTTGGGTCATCGACTTCTGCATTTTACGGATAATTGACCATGGGTGACGCCACTATACGAACTCGCGACAATGTTTACATGATGTTTATTGTTTCTTTCGTTGCCACGACTTGATGATGAATTAAATGATACTAAAGGCCAAATGTTGTTCAATCCCACTCATGTCACAATTGCATCGAGATCTTTGTTACATAGAGTGACAGCTGATTGTACAATAACCTCACAGAAGTTTGCTGTCTCATCTTGGTACACGTAAGTCTAGCAGTGAGTCCCCACTCTCGGATCATGTTAGGATGATTTTCTGTCAAATAGGGACGATTAGCAACTACTCATCACTGTAGTCAATCTACCGGCCTCTTTAAACATATACCGATCCGCACGATTTTGCGATCTCGTCACCTCAACTCGTCACCCAATGATGCAAACTACCCAACTACAGCAAGTACCAATGTACTGTTCTACACAATAGGATGTAGCCCGTATGGCTGATCATATGATTCTCGAGCGTTGACTCTGTTTTAGGGAGGAAAGAAAACCCGAAGCTTTGACCCTAAGCGATAAAATTATGTATGTAACTCTAGCCTAGGTTTAAGAGACTCTTTACTGAGTTTATTCTAGCAGCCTCTCGTTGAGTCTTGAGTGAGTGTTCTTGCTCCACGAGGTTTATATACACTCAATCCTGGAGAACACAGATTACGCAACGCGTTAGAACCGTTCTTTCAATTGAAGAACATGTCTTCTTATAATCGTGGTGCAGCAGCCTATATCATATTCCTCTTCCAATCGGACACTTTCTCTAACTAGACCGTAAACATATTTATCTAGCCAAACGAAGTAATCACTTTTCCAAGGACAATGGAGTAGTGTCAGCTAAGTCGGAGTATCCGATGATCATGCCTTATACATCATTCCACAGTGATTGTCACGGCTGTTGCTCTGCGTAACTAACTACCAAACTGTCGAATAAAAATTACTGGCGTATCATATCTATGCGGGTAATAATTGGTGGCGATGCCAGGATAAACAAATAGAAGACTAATTGAAGATAATAATATGTATTTGTCTTCCGATTTGCAGGAAGTACTCTATCTAAAGGACACTGAAGCCGCTTAATAATGTATGTAACGAAGAAGTATTAAACCAGTGATTTGATCCATGAAACCAGGAGACCGGTCAGTCATTGATCTGGTCATATCAAATGCCACTGGAAGCAAAGATAATGATAAGGCTACCAATTTACTTGGCGCAGACCTTGGCGTACAGGTTGACGGGGCTGGGGCAGCCGTAGACCTTCTTCATGCTGGGGGTGCTGTAGCACTTGGCATCGTTGGCCTTGCAGTCGAACTTCTCGCAACCCTCACCAGGGCTCAAGATGTTGTGCTTGTCAGCGAAGGGGTTGCCGTACTCAGTGCTGAACTCGTCTGAAGAGAAATGTTAGTTGATGTTCGTCATAAAACAAGGCAGCAGGGAAAACATACAGTAAACGTTGTTGGGCTGGGACTCGGAAGAGTAGCCGAAGAAGAGAGGCTTGGTGAGAGTTCGGGTGGTGGCAATCTTGATGGTAGAACCAGAGGCACGGAGATCCTCAGAGAATCGCTGGCCGGGCTTGACAGTGGTCAAGGGGCCGGGAGCACCGCCGCCGTAGGGGAAAGACTGGACATAGATGGTGTTGGTGCAGTCGTTGATGACATTGGCCTTGTTGGCAGCAGCAGCAGAGCCGAAGACGGCGGCGAGGGCGGTGAAAGCAGCGAACTTCATGATGATGGTTTAGAGTTGGGTATGGAAAAGTTTGATGTGAGGGGTTATGATGTAGAAGATTGAAAGTGAATGATGAGATGAGATGAGATGATAAAAGTGAATGAGAGCTGGGTAAATATATGCCTTTATATTATGTGAGAATTGGGATCTGACCTCTGGGCTTCTCGAATAGGATACGAAGTACTGTGCACTAGCTGCGCCCTAATATCACCTATACGAAGCATGATCCATCGTCTTGTCCGGAGAAACTCTGGCCTCGTGATATTTCTGCGGGGTCGTCAAGATCAGCAAATGCAAGGAAAATCCAGCCCGAAGCTGCAGTGGACTGCATGCCGAAACATCCGACTGCTCTGTGCGTCATGTTATTATCGCATGGGTTTTTGCATTAAGAATTATGCTTAGCTCGTATTCACAGGGCGGGTGATTTATTATTAGATGAGCCAGGGGATGATCATGGCCCTACCCGTGCATCGTCCGCCCCGCTAGTCCTGGATTGGGATTATGCTTCTTTGTTGAGCGGTGCGATCGGACATTTCGACGTAATGGTCACAGCATGGTTCACAAGGACGGGTATGTCATTTGTGCCTGACTCTGTGACTAGCTAGATCGGTGAATTAAGCCCAGCCTCAGCCGTGTACTGCATGCACACAGAGGACAGTGACGCCATTGTGCATCTTTGGTGAACAGGTCTAATAAACAAGCAGCCTCACGGTCTCACCGCATTGTCAGTATGAGAGAGATTGACCGCTCAAACGTGCCAGCGCTGTAAGAACACGGACTCATCTGCCTTTACATTTCATTTACGATGGACTCAATTCCAGAAGGAACCAGACGGTACATAGACCAGAAAGCTCAACAGAATTGCCATGCCGAGCCAAGCCCATTACGGGACTACGGATACCAAATCTTGAAAAAGTGGCAACGCGAGCGGGTCTGGACGTCATTCGTGGACGCCGAGGTGGGGGAGGCTGGGCTCTGAGACACCGTCGGGTCCGGCAGAAACTGAAAAACTTGCCGTAATTTGAAGCCGACGGTGGAACCATTATCAGCGCTCGGAATCTCGCGCACGAGCTGCGACTATAGGGTATTTTTTCACGAGTTCCAACGTGACCATGACGCTCTTCTAGACTGGGCGTGGTTTTAAGTCCATGGTTCGTGTTGCATCTATAGTTCGTATTGTAATTGACTTTCACCGTTAGGGTAACCTGCTCGTTCTAGAATTGAGAGAAAAGAAAGTGATTGAGCGACTTCCGAGCCTAACAATTGACCCCATGCGTAGCCTCACGGGTGCATCGTTACATCACACCACTAACTTTTAGTTGTATTTTTAGCCAACGAGGACCTTTATGGACGATTCCTGCGTGGCTGAGGATCTTTAAGTGCATGCATGATCAGCTGACTGCGTCAATAGCCTCATTCACCAATTTGTACTGGATTTGCGCTGGGAAAACGCCTCAGAATTATTTGCACCCAGATTTTGGGGTTTGTTGATTGACTATGTTGATGACTCGCCAGCTGACTAACTGATCATTTAAAATTACTGCACAGAATGCAACCAATCATCTGATCGGCATACTGAGACGCGAGATTATCTAGACGAGCTTTTATTAAGCTTAAAGCCAATGCAATATTTCTTAGACGATGCCACATTGTACCAGGGATTCAGCTACCATGTATAGAGTAACATATACACCAATACAGAACAAGGCAATTCCAATGAGGTAGCGAGTGGATTCGCGCATAAGAGTTAGTTATAAAGTGGTGATGGTGCAGGGAATTGCGCGACCGCTGATCGCATTGAGCATTTTTGCCACTGCCAATCACATTCACTTCAATCACCTCCAGTGAGTTGTCTTTAGCTACAGACGTTAACTTTGAGGAGCAGAGGAACCCCTGATTCCCCAACTGTCATCGACCTTGACACGAAAAACAGCTTCAGCGGGTCATATCTGAGGCATCGATATAGCAAAAAGTCATCCTAGGTCCAATAGCACCCCGAGATCCAGGATACCTGGTTCCGAAACTACTGTAATATCTGTCGCGTACAAACCTTTCGATATATTGACATTATTTCTCCACCATCTTCGCGCGTTCATCAATGATGAGACTGATTATGGTCCTAGTATCGCTGTGGTATAATGACCTCTGCTGTATAGGGATGCTCTTGCTCGATGGTGCCCTACTTGGATGCGACTTTTGCTCGCATTGCCAAAAGCTTGATCATAAGAATTGGGACAGCGTTGAGAATACCAGCCAAAGCCATTCGAGGCACTCCTATTGAATTACTCAACTATTCCATCCAGTTGGCTCTCATCTGCGCCAATATGTCTTGCAAGGCCTTCGAGACTTGAATCCTTGGATAGGGTTAGCGAACTGACGGACTATTTCGGTCTGGAGGCGGCCCAGCCCTAACTTTCTGTGAGGACGGTAATTAATGATGATATGTCTCCTTCAAGGTCCAGCGCCACAGTAGCCTCGGATTCATCCAACTACCGTCGTCAAGACTGACCAATCCAAGCCTTATATCGTAAGGAACCTATTACTCAACAGCAAAAGATCAATTCATTATCCCCAACTTCTGGAGCTATCTGTCTGAAAGTGTTGGCTTCTGGTTGACGTGGGCAGACTTGCGACTGCAGATCCCACAATCGTAGCCTTAGTGACTTAATCAAAGGGGGCCAGCTTTTCATTACTGATCCAACAGAGACTGGGAGACATATCGAGGTTAGTAGAAGCATTGGCTTTTCAACACTTGAAACATTCGCCTTCTGTGCCTCCATGCTCTTACAGGCGACCATGAGGCTTCAATGAACCCAAGGCGGCTGGAACAGAGTGGCCAATAAAGACCAAGATGATGCTGTAGAGGTAAGTATCAATTGTAACATGTGTCTCAGAGCCCATCTAGGAGTAATTCATAGACCACCAGCAGAGACCTGCTTTTTATTTCTTCCTGTCTTCCTCCGGCATATACCGGCGTTAATCAGAGAAAATTACTTCATGCAGGTCAACGAAAACTATCAGAGTTGCTGTTGCTAGAATGAACATAGCTGGAGTAACCTGTTGCCATATCCTGGAATACCCTCAGACTGGTCTTTGATCTCGGCAATGATATCTTCTTTATCTTCCAAAGAAGCAAAGCTTCACAAGCGATATTGTCATGTCCACCATGGTGCCAAGCGATGTGCTCGGCTCCTCACCTCCGAGGAGGAAAACTTGAATGCATTTGTTCGCTTTGGCACACCTGCGCTGATACGGTCTCCAGATGTATTGAGCAACCGACTATGGTCACTACCCTTGTCATCATAAAAGCCTGAATAAAAACACCACCACTAATAATTCCCAGTATCTGGTACAACTGTCTTGACCTTAGCGGGTGAGCCTGCTTCCTAGAATCAAAACAGCAACAAGAAGCGCGCCGGCTCTATTTGATAGTCCGTGATTACTAAGCACATATTTAAATCTCACTAATCATGAAACTGTATTTGCTAACTATCGTGTTATCATAGAGTCGCATTCGGCATAATTTAAGTTAATGCTAAGGTCGACGCACCGCACTTAAACCAGCGGAAGAGCCGGAACTCTCAAAACCTATTACTCTGCCGAGGTTCAACTGATTGCTGCCAAGGCGATTCATATAAATACCGCACGCCATTATAAATTCGCCCCTTCAATCATGTTCTATATTCATTCTCGCACCAGGCTATGGCGTGAGAGGAAGGCCGAGGCGAGATCTTCGAACAGTATAATTCTTTCCGGTCACTTGACACTCCAACGCTGCAGTCATGTCGAACTCGCATCTGCCCAATTCCCACCAAGAGGTTACTCCAGCGTGGAGGCCTTACAAATTCCCTAGAATTCCATTGCCTGATGCAATTAAAACAAGTCCTGTAGCAGACTCTGATGGACATACATACCGTGGTAGCGTCCCACCAGACTGGTGCGGCAAGGGTGCGTCATTCAGAGTACATGAATCGATAACATGGGATTAATGATCAATTTGTAGGCGGTCGGCGACTTGCAGCCCATGGTGGGTATTGTGCCACAGTTCTGATGATGACAGCGCGGCAATATCACCACGACAAGCATGGAAGCCTCGAGAACGTGGAACCTCTGAACATATCCGTGGAATACCTCGAACCATTACCTCAGGGTCAATTCGAGATTACACTTGAAACTCTGAGCATTGGTAAACGAACTTCGACTGTTGAAGCCAGGCTTAAGTCGTTGGAAGCTCATAAAGATAAGGTCTGCACAATTGCCATAGTAAGGCTTGGTATATTGAAAGACAACGGTCAGGTCATCAATATGCAACCTTCAGTTTGGCCATTACCTGATCGAATGAAGGATTGTACTCGGTGGTCAGATGCAAGCTTCTACTACATGAACCCCCCTGCGTCGACGATAAGGGCGTACACACCCAAGGGCGACAACGCGCCACTGTGGAGTGAAAACTTTGGAGGCCGGAACACCAGATATCAGTGGGTGAAACTAGACAATGATAAAAAGTTCGGATTAGAGCACTTGCCAGTACTGGCGGACTTGGTAACCACTACATGCCGATTGTTCTGTGGCCAATGCTAACATACTTTCCACTACAGGTTCCCGCCATCTTCCTCAACTATGACGAGAATGGGATGGAAGCCGCCAGCAGCTGGGGTATGCCCACCACCGCTATGAGCATTATGTTCCGGTCTGAAGTTACTTCACAGGACTGGCTCCTCACTCGAACCACGATGAAGAGATTACACGGTGGGCGGTTTGATATGAACATCGAGATCCTCAATGAAGATGGAAAACTACTTGCTTCTTGCGTCCAGATTTGTTCTGTTATACCTCTTGGAAAGCCTAATTCCCAGATTCCAGGAAAGCTTTAGACAACCCATAGCAAAGTGAACAAGAGGCTCTTCGAAACCCTTAGATAGTGCCATATATAGTAGTTGTTCCACTGGTGATAGTTGACCCTCCTGTGAATACAGTACGCGTGGAAAGAACCGTCTGCGAAGTCGTGTAAACATCCTTAGTGACCGTCGTAGGCTGCGTGCTAGTAACAACAACGGTGTTGTAGCGAGTGTTTGGCACGGTCCTGGTGCTAGTGGTAGTAACTGTGTTGAAGTTGGTAGATGTAATAAATTGTGTCTTGTACACATAAACGAGATGATCGAAGTTGGTAACAATGTAAGTCTTCACTTGAGTAGTGGTAGCAGCCTGATGATTTGCCTGAGCCACGATCTGAGAGCTAATGATCGTAGTAGTGGTGGACAGAATGGAAGTGCTAGTCTTCTTATCTGTGATAACGGTACTTAGGCGGTTGGTTACCGTCGAAATCACGTCCCGAGTTTGAGTAGTCGTGACTATTTTGGAAGATTTGGCTGTGACTTTTGTAGTGACGGCTGCAGCGGGCTTCGTAATCAGGCATGAGCAAGCACTGCTGACGGCACTCGGTGACTTGTTGGGCAGATAACTAGGCACTGATATAGCCTGTACTGCTCTCTTACGACGCTTATCAGGCTTGGACGAAGTCAGTAATATGCTTGTGGCCTTTGCAAGATATATGGTACACTTACAGGAGTGGCAGAAATACACCCTACATCATAGAACGTTGTACCAGAAGATGTGTCTACCGCAACCGTATCCTCCCTATATAGATGGTCAGCTAGGATGTCTACAAAAGGCTATTCACTAAGCTTTAGACATTGGTATACTCACAAATGGGAGACGTAGCACGAGCATCTTGTACTGCTGAGCCCAAAGTACCGATAGCTGTTGCAGATTTCCTTACACTCGCCGAAGCTAATTGAGCCGCCTCTTATGTCCACAGGTGTAGATCCCGAAGTACCAACAACGCCGCAATGAACTTCAGCTAAGGATATGTCAGTAGGAGCTCAGAGGTGAAACGGACACTAAGAGAACGTACCTTCAGGGATGACTACCACAGATGCTGCTGCACTACACCATATTAGTCGTCGCTTTCGACAGGAACTCTTGAGGCTTACGTGGCCCTGAAAGAGTTGGTGTTAGTATATATCACCACGACAGAGTTGATGGAAGGTACTCACGTAGTATAAAGGATGGTAGAAACAGTGGTTGTACCGCCAGTGTAAACAAAGCTTGCTGGAACAACGGTTGTAATAGCTGTATCAACAACTGTGGTGACGGTTGTAGCAGCTGCTTTAGTGGTTGTCTGAGTTACCTGCTGCGTGATTGTTCCGTCCCTCTGTAGGGTATATGTATCACTTGGGGTAGTCGTGCTGATAAATGTACTTGTTGCTGTCTGATAATCCGTGATAAAAGCGGTACTAGTCCTTGTTACGACAGTCGATACTGTGCCTATCTTGGTAGATAAGGTCACAACGGTTATGGTGGTTCTGATTGTACTGAGTGCGGCTATAGTGGTCTTGGTACTCTTTGTGACGAATACCGTCTTGGTACTAACTGGAGTCACAGTGGATGTGATGGTGCTTTGGATGTAGGTAGAGCAGAACGCGGATCCATTGACCTTATTCTTCTGGAATGCTTGGTTATCTGGATCGCTGGCTTTGCAAACTGGAGACCTTTTAGTTATGAAGATTGAGAAGGCCCCGTGTTGCTATATTTACGCACCTGCTCTCGGATCAAGAGAGCTTCTCTTCTTGACCATTAAGTCCGATATCCCTCCGTTTGAGTTACCACTGTACCTCTCGGTGATAGCGGGTAATGCACTTGCTGCACAGATAAACAGCAGCGCCAGAGCTTTCAGTGAGACCATCTTTGCGCAACCGAGACTCCAAAAATATTAAACGTATCGCAAGATGACTTGATTTATATAAGATTGCATGACTGACACGGTCTTGAGGTATATAAGCTTGTGCTCAGACTGTACATCTTCATCGTTTCTTGTGTTTCAGCTGTAATCGAGTAAGCCCTCTTCAATAGTTCAATTGTCGTTAAGGTCTGGTTCTGTCCTGGGCTTTTAAAATGGAGCTATCCCAGCTTAGCAAGTCGCTAAGTGCTAGTAAATGGCCTGACACATCCAATAGTCCTTTGTCACAGGAATGATGAGGCTTGAACTAGGTCAAATGTGGTAATTTTAGTAGAGTTGCAATGTCGTATCGGGCAGTTCATACAGCTAGCAGAGGTTCTCAAAGGCCTCGATTGCGCTACTCTATAGAATTTAACGGTTCTTGGTCTCCTGGAGTACACCGACTTCTTGAGTGAAATGTGAGTTGGCACATGGATACCACAACAGTTCATCTTGCCAAAGCTCACAGAAACAAAGGTCCTAGTAGTTAATCATTCTGGAGGAGGTGCTGAGATTAATTCTGATTTATAAGAGATATAATAAATAATAAAGTCCCAAGACTTAAAGAAGGGCTGAAAGTCCGACAAGAAGAGAAAGTACACCAGATGTCTGCTTGATAGCACCACTAATAACAGGGACAGTGCTGGGGTAAGAGCCCTTAGAACCAGAAGATCCAGAACCCTCTGTGTCTCCTTGAGAATCAGAGCTGGAACCTCCGTTTGAACCACTGCCGCTGCCTCCATTAGAACCCCCACTTGAACCTCCATTCGAGCCCGAGCTTGACCCCCCGTTTGATCCTGAGCTTGACCCTCCACTGGAACCGCCGTTGGGACTCGGACTATAGCCTCCTCCAGACCCTCCATGAGGAATAGTGGAGTTCCAGCTGATACCGTGGTGTGGTTTAGCAACCGGCTGCTGAGAAGGACATTCGAATGTCTCGCAGATAGGAACTTGGCCGTTGCAGTCATCAGGCATGCCCCAAGACTTGTCCCAAGGTTGATAGCTAATCTTGCCCTGGGCACAAGTCGTGCAATCTGATGGAACAAAGAAAGACTTGTAGTTATACCAATCTGGGCATTGTTGAGGTTTGTAAACATTGAGGCTCGCGCATTTTCCGTCTGAGCAAAGGTGGGGAATATACTGTTGACCACCAGGACAGGGCTCAGAGATATAAACCCATTGGCCGTCACAATCACTGCCATTGATCTCGACAAAAATATAGACGGCAACGTTTTTTGAGCTGCTCGAATGGCATTTCCCATCAACGCATACCAGAGTGGCAGTGACGATCTCGGTGGCTATGCTTTCACCGCTAGCGACAGTGGTGAAAGTGCTAACAATAGTCTCCTGATTTGTTACCGTTTGGGTGACAGACTCAGTAAGGGAGACAATAGCCTCGGCCCTAGCGTAAAGTGTAAGGAGGATATTGCTAGAGATGGCCTGGCGGGCTCGAAGCTTGTTCTCGACTTCACCTCCACAGAACTGCGTCTTGTCTCCAGGACACTCGACGTCGCATTGGTCCAGGTTGTAAAACACAGTACTGTCAAAGTCATACACATTACCGCAGTAACAAGCGCTAGGCGAATTATTAACAACGACTTCTTGGGATATAAGAATAAGATAAGACATACGTATCATGGACGCCAAAATAGGCACGTCCCTCACAAAGGCCAGCACATACATCGAGATCCATCAGCGCGCTCGACTCGGCAAGCGTAAAGGTAGGGAAGCCTGCGGTAGATCCCGCACATCCGAAGAGACTGAAACCGCCGACATCACCGGGAAACCCAGCAACCGAAGTAGAAGTTGAGGATGCAGAAATGGTACCAGTAGAAGTGCCAGTTGGAAAGACAGTCTCACCCTCCGAGTTCGTAGTGGCACTCTCAGAGTTAGTGTTGACATCTGTAACAGTCCCTGTCGGGAAGACAGTCTCGCCGTCTGAGTTGGTAGTGGCACCCTCTGAGTTTGTAGCGATATCCGTCCCGATAGGGGAGACAGTCTCACCTTTTGAGTTGGTCGTAAAGTCTTGACTGTTGGTAGTAGGGAGGATGGTCTCGCCTTCGGAGTTGGTAGTAAACTCTGCCGTGTTGGTTCCGGTAGAAGAATCAGTCTCGCTACCAGTAGGTACACCAATACTGGGTGTAGGGATGGGAGTTGGAGTTGCACCCTGAGCATCCTCGAGCGTGACCCCTGCAATGATTACAGGGACGATGACATCGCCACAAGATTGTTGGAGTTTTAATTCGTTTTCTAGTTGCAGAACGAAAGGGTTGGTAGTTATTTCAATACTGTTGCTAAAATCTTCGGGAATGGGTTGAATCTGGATAACCTCACCATTGGAGATAACTTGGAAAGCACAAGGGCTACTTTCAGCACGCTTCCTGGATCTGTTGGGGCAAACGACTGCGCCACCGCACGAGACGTTAGTGACCGGGATTCTGTAAGAGCCAATACCTAAAGAAAAAGCTAGATCTGAAGAGATTTGTTGTTTAAAAGTGGAAACTGCATTGTTGGGAAGAATCAAGGGGGCGATAACCGGAAAGGGAACAGGACCAGCGCGACGCTTGAGGGTAGAGCCACTGCCCACAGGAGACATGAGACTAGAGTCATGGCATGTTAGAGCTGCTGCAGGTTTGATGACTTCTGGGTGATCCTTACATCGTATCGCCGTCTGGTGGTGGGTAGAAAGAAGCACCCGGGCCCAAAATGGCGTCTTTGAGATTGAATACAATTGGGGCAAAGGCTGATGCTGAGGACGAAGCGGTGCTCTCGACACTGGTGGAAGTGGTTTCTATGCTCGCGGTAGACGGGACAGAAGAAGTCTCGAACTCAGTGGGAGAGGTCGAGGTCTCGACAGCAGCGGTGCTCGTGTTTGTGAATCTAGTAAACTGGTTGAATTGGCCAAGCGCACTCGAGGCGCTGGCCAGAAGGAGGCCTGAAGACAGGCGCATGATGAAGATTGACGATTAATTGAATGAGCGACAGGAAGCGAACGTGAAGATCAAGTGTCAGCGGCGCGAACACGGGTTGGGCATGGACTATATACATCCAGCTTCCCCATCAACAAGTGACAATGTGCATGTCTTGCATGCATGCAGAACAGTCACATTCCAACGCAGACTTCACCTACAGTAACGGTTGTTCGGCATGGGGCAGTATGAGACATTTATTGTTCCCCTGTCTTTATCTCGCCATGGAGATAATGACAAGAATACCTAAGCTTCTGAGTCTAAGTCTGTAGTTTTGTCTTTAGCGAGAGGCTATCCCCCTTGCGCCGTTGGAATCCATTAAAACCCCTCTTTTCAGCCACATTTTGATAGAATCTGGAATATGTCAGGGACAATACTTTAACTACATTCCTATTACCACTGAACTTACAGTTGTATTGGTTGCCGGTTTAAACTGCTAACAGTCCCTGCTATGTCTTAGCCCATGAAACCGTCGATCCGCCTTTGGTCAAGCGCGGTGAGGACGGAAAAACGGCATTTTAGCTGACCAACCTCTCGGGCCTCTTTCGAACATTCAACAGTCAGCAACAAGTCCTACATACTATAACCTTACAGCCAATCACCTCAAATTATACATCATAAGCGGAGGGAACTTTGGCTACGTTGGTTGAGGAAATGACGCAGTTGCACCTTCACACACGAAGCAAGTCTTTTTACAGTATTAAGAGTAATGCTCAACTTTGTAGAATCTTGGGATTTGTGCTAATGATACTAGGCTTTCCGCAGATACTCTTGTTTGTGCGACCCGACCACTGAAGTAGATTCAGAGCAGGAAGGGGGAATAGCATTCAATAATGCTTAAAAGTGGTGTCAATTAGATATTTAACTAAAATTTAAAGCGATAACTTAGCGACTCTATCCTGCGCAGTATGGACTTTTTCTTCGAATCCACTCTCCATATCGCCAAAGCACCATTGGCGCCACAAGACAGATCAACATGGCTGTACCCGCGAGCAGGCCATTTCCCCACGCAATCCCAAGACGTTGATACATAGCAGGCGCAAACAAAGGAAAGCTAAAGCCAGCCATAGTACGGACAAAAGCAGCTGCCCCAGTCGCACTGGCGGCATATCGCTCATAAGAGTCAATGATGTACGTTTGAGCACATTGGAACGACAGAATGAGCCCTGCAGAAAAGATCGCTGTCCCGACATTTGGGATGATCCAGTGGAGTTTCAGGTGTGCCGAGACACCGTATAGAACGAGACCCGCTGGTGTGACAAGCGCTGTTGGGAACATCAGGGGTACGCGAAATTCCGGCCGTCCAGGGTGGTTATACCGAGTCTTGAGCATTGTGTAGACCTTGGAGTGTTAGTGTGCGCCCAAGTGTGAGACGAGGTTGATTACCTTGTCAATCAGGGGACCGGACACCTGAAGCCCAATGACAAATCCAATACCAAGAGAGACGTAGTTCAGACTGGCACGGCCAGGCTCTTGGTTGTATTGCTGTTCCCAGACCATGGGGAAGGAAGCAAAACTAGGGGCGCGTAAGTCGGTGATTGTGATGGATATCAAGGGCTTGCACTCACACTAGATACATAAGACCATATAAATACGCCCTATACAGAGCTGTGATCTGAATGGCTGGCTGGGTAAACAGCATCTTGAATGGTCTCTTCAGGTTGGTTAAAAGTAGAGAAACGAAGGAGCGATCTCTCTGCTCAAATTCGGTATGGAGAAGTCTGTTACCAGTGACCTTGCGAAGCTTTCTGGCCTTGACCTTGAGAATCTTAGGTGGATAAGTCTCTTGCAAGAACAGGAACGCAAGAATTTGAACCACAGCGTCGGCTATGGAGACTACCCAGAAAATCCAGCGCCAGTTCAAGTGTTGGGTCAGGTAGCCAGCGGCTAGAGATGTGTTAGTCCGAAGAGAAGTCCTTGTCGTGAGTTGGGTTGCTTTACCTATGGGCCCAACAGCAGGTCCCAAAAATGGTGCAAGGCTGTAGATGGCGGTTGCAGTTCCGCGCTCCTCTTTCCTCCAACAGTCGCTCAGCACGCCGCCTCCAAGCTAGACTCGAATCGTTAGTAAGTAATAGTAAGGTAGTGAGTATCGGTGGTCATACCGCCTGAGGTGCACTCCCGCCAAGACCGCTCAAGAAGCGAAAGACAAGCATCTGCTCCTTGGTTTTCGAGAACCCGCACACAGTGTTGAAGATCAGATAGAACATGTTAGCAGACTGAAGAACAACAACTCTCCCAAACATCTCTGACAGGGGAGCGAGTAAGAATGGGCCAATGGCATAAGCCAAAAGAAAGATGGACATGAGAAGATATGTCTCAAAGTCAGATGAGATCTTGAACTCCTTTGCCAGATCTGGCAAGGCTGGCGCCAGCATGGTTGAGGAAACTGGAGAGATGAATGTGAAACATGAGACAAGAATGGTCGAGAGCCATTTCTTGCGCTTGGTCCAGTTGTGTGGATTAGAGGGATCATGGGGACCATCCCAGGTCACCTGGCAGTTGTGTTAATGGTTATGGTGTCCAAAGGCGCGGGGATACGCAAAAGGGTGGTTGAGATGAGGGCTAGCTTACCAGGTCTGGGTCCTCGTCTTGAGGCAAAAGAAGGGGTTCTGGGATTGGATGGCGCTCTAAATCTTCAGACGACTTGGCAGATCGGTCTGACTGGCTCGCAACATCCGGGTCTTCCGCAAGGGACGCCAGTGGCCTTGGACGACTCGAACGGTTCGGGTCATAGCTTATGTCACGGTCATGATCACGTATCAGCCAAGGATAATTCTCACGCGACTTCTCATAGTTGACCAAGTCCTCGAGCATGGGGCTCCAAGATCTCCAAAGAGAGGAACGAGAGCCAGCTCTTGAGAGCGTTGGAGTGTTGCTTTTGCTCATTGCTTGCAGGACAATGGCGAATGGGGTAATTACAAGGAAACGAATGTCGTCTGGGGGAGCTGTATAGACTGCAAACAGTGATGATGTAACGAGAGTATGAGTAAGCGAGTGTATTTTGATCAGTTGATTCTTATCATAGGAGGGCTGAGATGGTCAATTATATCTGCACATTTTCCAAGCGTTGAATCAGGATAAGAGGCTGTAACTTGACGATGTTTAGCAGCTAACGCTAAAATATGCAAAGATAAATGCACAGCCTGCACAAACAAGAAGAACAACTCGCCAGAACCACGCCATTCCACATCATCTTGCTGGCAGTAAAAGATTGTCAAGTCGACACAGCCTGAATGCGTCACTGATGAGGCTACTGTTTTGAACAGTATACCGCTAGGCGTCTTTGCTGAAATGTTCGTATCGCTGATTGAGCGATTCCAGTGATTGACAGTGGTTTCAGCTGTTCATTGTTCATAGTCGTCACTAAGGTGGCTTAGAAGTTTCGTTTCGACTTAGCTTGGTTGGGTTGGGGCCATTTCATTTGCTCAAGCAACATCGCCAAGACCTGAAGGCGGAAATCATATCGCGCATCATCACGCCATGAAATTCGGAATATTCCAATATCCCGAGACAATTGCCTCTCAGCTCCAGAGCCCTAGCCCTGGAGGTACAATTTGTGCGCGGGATCTCAGCGACAGTCTCTGCAATATGGACTTCTCGCTTTCGGTCCAGGGCCCACAAGTCATATTTCCAAAACATATGATGCAAACTCACCAGCGGAAATAAATCAAGCTTCTGGGAACTTTTCCGGGGCCAAAGATCTGCTCCAATGGCTTTTCTATTAATATGCCTCTTGTGCATGGCGTGTCTCTCGTTGATTGGCAGCAGCATGATTCACGGAACTTAGATAAGGGCCAAGCAATGACGGCGCCGTTAGTACGCAACCTTGATGACGTTTAACTCGGCATTGCCCATTCAAGCCACGAGACCTTGAATTAAGCTTAAATTTTATCCCTGCCACAGCTTCCATTGCCCTATCCACTCTGACCTGCCAAAACTCATAAGCGAGCTGCCCAGTGATGATCTCCTCAGCCCTGTGATGAATGACGCGTCCCTTATCTTGACTCGCCTGATTGATCTTTGAGGCAAATCCCCATATCAATGCATTCTATTTATGCCATGTGGCTTGGGTGATCGCGTGACGCAAGCGCATTCCAGAAATCAAGATTGAGCTAATGTTCGTTTCAAGACAAAGTGGCAGACGACCTGTTGCTATTCTGGGGCTGTCCCTTCTGCGATGCAGGCTAGTGTGTATTTTGTGTTGTCGAGGCTGAGTGAGAAGATGGGATCATTCACTAGATGAGATGCGGTAAATCGGCATTCGAAACATGGCGATAGAGAAAAGCATTCAAGTATATAATAATGCCATGTGTAGGCAGAGAAAGTAGCGATTCAGAACACTCAACAGCCCCATCTTCACATTCGCTATAGAACTTAAGCTGGAAAGCTTCCATTCGCTACAACAAGCCTATCGTTTATACCTTATCAATACCTCTTCTTCATAATCTGTGTAAACACGTACTCAAGCCCTTTTACACAAACAGAATGACAATGGGCTCCACAGTCGCTACACCAAGTATGAGAGTCCTTGTCTGTCCATCTGGCTTCAAGGGCAGCCTTCAGCCCAATGAGGCTGCAGACTGTATTGAAGCTGGGATCCTCGCTGTTGAACCTAATGCCTCGGTCCGCAAAGTTCCATTGGTTGATGGAGGCGAAGGTTTCACACAGGCCATTGTCACAGCTACAGGCGGTTCATTGCACCGCGCACACGTGGTCGGACCTGTGGGAGAACAAGTCACATCATTCTTTGGTCTCCTTGGTCGCAAAGACGATGAGCCAACCACGGCCGTCCTGGAGATGGCTGCTGCTGCTGGCCTGAGCTTAGTCCCGCCCAATCGTCGCAATCCAGGCAAGACAACAACATTTGGTGTTGGCCAACTTATCCTTGCTGCGCTTGATGCTGGAGCTACGCGCATTCTGGTTGGATGCGGTGACTCTGGGACGTGTGATGGCGGCGCGGGGATGCTCCAAGCTCTCGGTGCAAGTCTGGTTGATGTCCAAGGACGTGTCCTCCCCTTGGCTGCTGGTGGCGAGTCGCTCTTGGAACTTGGTTCTATTGACCTCACTGGAGTCGACGCGCGTGTCTTCAAAGCCAAAATTGACGTCGCTGTGAATTGGCATAACGTACTTTGCGGACCCGGCGGAGTGGCAAATGTCTTCGGTCCCCAGAAAGGATCAACCCCAGAGCAAGCCGCCCGCCTCAGTCTCGCCATGGAAAATTTGGCAGACGTTGCTACAGGTGTTCTCTGCGACAAAAACGTCCGACTTGCTCCCGGAGGCGGTGCCTCGGGAGGTCTTGGAACAGGCCTGCGCTTAGTAGGAGCTACACTCAGACCCAGATATGAGGTCATTATGCAGTACATCAACTTGCACAGTATATTTGAAGACTGCGATCTTGTACTTACTGCAGAGGGGGGAATTGACGATCAAACTCCGAGGGGAAAGATCCCCGCAGAAGTGGCCAGATTGGCAAAGAACCATGGACTTCCTGTGATTGCCATCGCGGGTACGATTGGACAGGGAGCCAGAGTGAACTATGACATTGGGATTGATGCTTTCACGTGTATCATACAGCGACCAATGAGTTTGGATGATGCGGTTTTGGAAGCGGAGAAATTAACTCGTGAGAGTGCTGAGACTGTCATGAGAATTGTTATGGTTGGGCGGATGCTAGGCAAATGCTCTTGATGAGACACGTGTTATCTGACTCCGTTTATGTTTTGACTTATATACATTGAATTCGTGAGTGACCTGGCAATAGAACTATATTGCTCAAGCTGTCTATTTGTCCAATGAGATACCTGTTTTGTTTATACGAGTAACGATCACCTCAATCCCAGGGTCCGGAGGGGAACGCGGAGGAGGATGTGCATGAAACGCAGTAATTGGTCAACTACTAGAACAAAGACGTCTACTGCTTTTGAGGACACTTATTTAATATCTGGGTTTGGAGTCATGAAGTCCGTAGATAGGAAGAATAAAGTATACAGGATCCCCCAAGGCCAAGGTTAAAACAAACAGGTAGTAGGTAGTTATCAGTTATTATTTAAATTTCGCTTGATTGAATGAATTATAAACCACTGAGCGGTATGGATAACCGTACAATTATCCAGTTGGACCATTGTTTCGCCAGTATCGGTAGTGGTTACCTTGAGCGCAATATATGTGACATCGCACAATTGGTCAGGTAAGATAACCGAATGACTAGGTGGAAATTCAGGAATTCCATAGCTGAGAGCTTAAACCAGCAGACAGAAGTTAGTACAGCTACATGCGAGAAACATTACGCAGAAGCTCGTGTACACAGTACTGGCCGAGAGCTTAAATGAACCAAGAGAACTTAGTTGAAATAAGCACAATCGAGAAATATAATTCTGGTAAACTCAAAATAAGTCTGCAGAGGAGAACATTAGTTATAAAAGTTAGACGATGATTCCAGTTGCCTCTTCCCATCTATAAGTATCCGTGTCTCCCCCAGTTCTCTCTTATCGTTTCTTTTGTTTCTCCCTTAACCATAAACATTTACACTACCACTACCACTCCCACACACGCACTCATCCTACTCATTTTTCATCAAACCTAAATCTGCCAACATGTGTTGTGGACTTGGCGGAGGCAGACGCCGTTCCGGGCCTGGAGGAGGAAGACCAATGGGGCTCAACAGTAGTGCGACTCTCAGATCGCCAAGTCGAGGAGCCAGGCCCAGGTCTACCCCAGCGAGGGCCGGGGCTTGGGATCGGTCTTTTCACGGGTCAAGCAACGGTTTCCGGAAGGGAAAGTCCAAGCAAACATCCAGCCGGGGCAGTGACACGAGCAGGCGTGCCATGAGGGGCTCGAGCTTTTGAATGGATCCCCCTGTCGATAAACTGGTACGAGGGCTCTCAGGATGAATAATTAGTTGAATATGCTGACACTTTTAGTCAAGGACTCAAGGTTCAATGTTGCCGAGCCTTACAGAGAAGACGCCAGTGCATTTCTTGTCTCAGGCCTGAGCGGTGGTTTGCAAGTTGGGATACGAAATGAAATGATGGACGACTCGTATTTGACTGCTGACGGGGCAATTTGGTTCGGGGAGGGCTATTGTATTGGACGACACTTATTTCAACGCTGGGTTGGAATGGATATTCATGGGTTTGATAAGTCAGGTATCTTGGATTCTCGCCAGTCAAGACCTCATATCTTCAATATTAAGACACATCATTTATGCCATATACTTTGTGGGCCAGCTTTCTTACTTGACACATAAACCTTGTCCCCGTCAGGAAACACAACGAGAGCGTCTGGAGCCTGCATCACAGTGGCTTCCACCTGTAGAGGTTTTACAAGCATGCCTGCCCTCCACTCCATGGAAACAAGCCAACCTCCCATAGCCCTGATATGAGTCAGCTTCCCACCTGACCAAGAGGGCGGTAAGCTCGGAAGCAGATGTATCACGACAACCTGTCTCGACGGTTCAGATCTTAGTGTAGATTGGACCAGACACTCCAAGATCCCAGCACATCCGCCAAAATTGCCGTCAATCTGGAATGGAGGATGATTATCCAGCATGTTTGGTAATGTCGACGTTTTGAGCAACAGATCCATGTGGGTTTGGCAACCTTTTGAGTCTCGGAGCCGTGCGTGAAGGTTTAGTAGCCATGCCCTACTCCAACCCGTATGACCTCCTCCGTGCTCCGCTCTCCTTGCAAGGACCTTCTTCGCAGCCTTGACCAGGAGCGGTGATGAGTCCATGCTGATGGAATCGTCGGGATATAGCCCGAAGAGATGCGATACATGTCGGTGCCCTGGTTCAGCTTCTTTGTGGTTCTTCAGGCCCCATTCTTGTATGAGTCCATCTTTGTTGAGTGACATGGGCGGTAGCTTATCGAGGGCTGCGATGACGTCGT